ATAATATAATACATTAACCGTGCTTTATGTGAACCTCATCATGACACAAGAGAGGAAGGCAGGACTGTAATTTCCCGTGTTCAGTGTTCACCATACCAATCAGAGAGTTGCATGGAAATACACGTGTGCTTGTGCCATTCAAGCTCGGTTCTCTCTCTCTCTGTGTGTGTGTGTGTGTGTGTGTGTGTGTGTGTGTGTGTNTCATCCGAGTCAGAAATAAAACCAATATGGAGTGAGGGCTAGTCCTAAATAAAGTGACATATTATCCATACTAAAATTGTGTACATTATCACACATAAAATAAACATTCATTTTGAAGATTTATTAGATTTTTATGTGTGATAATGTACACAATTTTAGTATGGATAATATGTCACTTTATTTAGGACTAGCCCTCACTCCATATTGGTTTTATTTCTGACTCGGATGATAAACCAGGCCTGTCATAAAATGCACCCCCCCCAAAAAAAAAGATGTTTCCATTAATCCCACCCTCAAGCATTTTTCAGGGTATGGTTCTAGGACTAGTACCAATGAATGGAGCAGGTTTCATGTATGTGACACTTTTATTATGTAAGATAGCAAGGAGTGCATAGTGTGGCAAAAATATGCTGACAAAGACTATAGTTGTAAACATATATTTTGATTATTAGATGACAACTATGTAAAATTAAACAATACATTTTAAAGCACGTTTATACAGACAGGACGTAACAATAATAATAAAAAAAAGATTAAAAAAAACAAAAACTGAAAAGGAAGTGACGAATGAATTTCGACACCACTACCATCAAATACGGAGCGAAAAGTTAAACCAGAAGAATCAGGACTACAGTATATGAGCTACCACGAAACAACTCACAGTCTGAAAATTACCATTAATAAAAACCCTGAATGTTTACTTTTCGTTTTAAACATCGTTTTAAGGTGTAAACGTGTCATTTAGAAATGCGCGTTCCCGTGACAAGGGGGGCATTTCATGATGGGGGGGCATAATTTGACACAACACCGGCACTGCCCTTTATTATTATAACGTCTAAATGGCATCATGTAAGATGCTCTGACAGGCAACACAGAGGTCAACAAACAGTGTACTCCTC